ATGCATGGTTATAGGAATGAAAACAAAATAAAGAGGTTTCAAAAATGCTTCTGATGTACAGCTCCAAGGGGTAGATATCTGGTACAACAACCTGGTATCCCTTCCATTCGACGGTCTTACTGTGCATCCCACCTTGGGCACGCATCTGATCACTGTTCTGTTATAAGTTCTACAGGTAGCGGGAGCCTATTACCAGACACATCCTATCGTAAGGAGGTTGGTAAGGTAAAAATGGCGATGATTACTAGATAAAACACTTCGCCTCCTCCCTTCTTCTTCCTTCCTCCTATTGCCTTGTTTTCCCTTGTCCTTCTCCGTTTTACTACCTCCTCCTCCTTCTTTAGAAGTTTTCTTCCTACGAGAATAACGTGGAAGGTAAATCGCCTTCTAAATAGAAAGATTGCTATTTCCTGGTAAATAACTTCCTTACTTACCTCCTTCTCCCTTCTTCGTCCTTCCTCCTCCTCTTTCTTCTGCTTCCTTCTTCCTTCCCTTCTTCTCCCTCTCTTCTCCCTCTCTCCTTCCTCTTCTTCCCTTCTCTCCTTTTTTTTTTTTTTTTTTTTTTTTTTTAGGGGTCGAAAAAAAGAAGCTGGCTTAGACGTCTAGTTGATCCTGCTGTAGTTAGTCTAAGATCGGCTTCTTATCTTTACTGGTCTAAAACGAATATCGATACAAGCCTTTAGAGAATAGTATTTCCAAGGGAATAAGTACCCCTTCCCCCCAAATGCCCTGGCAATTGTAGATCAGGCATGGTATGGACATTAAAGAGGACAGGGGCCGGGCGATGTTCAGAGTTGGAGAAGGCAGGGGCCGCACGACAGCAAGACACCCTCCAACCCTCTGGTGCCCCCCAGAGAAAGGAGGTTGTCGAGCAGGTGGAGGCCCTGACAAAGCTACAGGAACTGCAAAAGGTGAGCGGTTAAAAAGCGAGTGCAGCAGGAGAGGAAGAGGGTGAAAGGAAGGGGAAAACTAGGAGTATCAGGAGTTTTCTGTGTCCTTTTCAATCCTCTGGAAGTAACCAGAGCAATCAATGCTGGCAGAGTAACTATCTGATCACCAATCTGATGTAAGAACTTGTTTTGCAGCAAGATGTATCAATGGGACCCTGGACCCGGTTTCCAGCAGGTGCTGCTCCCCACCAATAGATGGAGCCTCCCCGACGGTGCTCGTGGTGTCTGCTCTTATCAGCACCCCTAGCGTCAGCTCGGGTTGCTGAGATTAAAAAAAAAAAAAAAAAAAAAAAAAAAAAAAAAAAAAGAAAAGAAGAAAAGAAAAAAGTACCAATGTTCTTGGAGTTACATACTGAAATAGCGTAAATTTTAGACTTCTTAAGCAAGGTTGAGAGTGACTTGGTAGGTGAGATCGTCCGCGGTTACCTGCTTACAAACCGAATATGTCATCCTGAGTGTTTTTCTTAGCCTTGGTCTCCTGCGCAAGCTGGCCAGGCCTGCCAGTGAGATAGCCTTTCATAGGGCCTAATAAATCGATTTGGTTGCTGGCAGGGCAAATCCTCCGTTGTCTCCTTCAAGTGTGAGTTGATTACCGAGGAGAATTCAGTCCAAGTGTAAAGTGGCTCCATGGTGAACTTCTGCTGAGCAGCAGCGGAGGAGTTCGGCTATGCGTGAGCTTGAAGAATCGTGAAAGCTAGTTCGCCAATAGGATCTATCTTCTACTAACGCTCGAAGATTGTCTAAGGAACAGTAGTTGGGGAAGAGCTAGAGGGGAGATGACAACGATGACCTTTCCGAGGGGTTTATAAAGAATGGCGGTGCAAGTACCTTCATGCATCGTTCCGGTGTTACTGCGAAACTGTAGTCCAGCTTAGCCTAGTGAAACTGTAGTCCAGCTTAGCCTAGTGACGTTCTTCATCCCAGAGTAAGCGGTAAACCCTCTCGAGGTCCTACCTGAGTCTGTTCCTCCCTAAGTGCGGTTCTTGCATCCGCTCGTTGGTTGGTAGTGAGTCGGTGAAGCAAGATCTTGACGCGAATTCCTGACCGGTCTGAGGTTCAGTTTGGATCAAGTAACTAATCCCATACAAGTAATGAACCTGAGCATGTTTCCATCTAAGTTCCGTTAGAGTTAGTCTGCTTGCAGTTCTAAAACAGGATTCCTTGTTGTTGAAGGTAAGTCGCTCTTCCTTTACCTTTCTTGAAAAAGGCTATGGTAAAAGATGGGCTATGGAAACTTGCCTTCTCAAGATAGCGATCGTAGTTACGGTACGGTGAGAGCTTAGCTCTGTTGTCGTTTTGCTGTGATGCAGGTACGAAGAAAGTCGCGGCGCCGCAGTCGCAAACGAAGAAAGAGCGAAGGACAAAAGCACAAGGCTCCACGGGTAAACTTTGCTAGAAATAGTAAAAGCAGCCCCCGATAGTCCTTCGGATTTTCCCATAGTGCCTGCGCAATTTCAAAATTGTCCCTCCTTCGATTTGGCCCAATGCTGGCCACCCCTATACGGGGATCAGTATGCTTGGTCCTCTGCGGAAAAAGAGGCCTCTTGGGGCCTGGAAAATGCTAACCGGCCCTTAAAAGAGACAGAGCCCAAAATTCTGCTGCCGGGAAATACCGAAGCTGCTGCTGAAGCATCTGGTCCTCAAGCATGTTCTGGTGCAGACACCCCGTTAGCCACACCTTCCGATCTGGCGCTTTACCCAGAGTAAGTGAGATTATCTACGTCTTGACTATCCGCAGACTACTGACTGCGTCAGCTTAGCTTACGGCGGCAGCCTAGCTGCCATCGTCCTTTGTCCAATGAGAGTCCTGCGTTCATTCCCTCTATCATCGTGAGAATGTCCTTCCACAACTGTCAGACTGCCCTCCCACATCTGTCAGAGTGTAAGTGAACGAGGAGGTAATGATGAAGTGAGCTCAGGGGTAGGGTAGCTAGTTCCCCTAAAAAGGGGAAGCCTCGGGGCGTTATATTTGAGGGCGGCCATTTCTTTGTCAGTTTTTGCAATGGGAAAAGTAGAACAAAACAGGAATCCACAGACAGATGCACACTTTCGTGTTTTTCTTTTTTTTTTTCTTTTTTTTTTTTTTTTTTTTTTTTTTTTTTTTTTTTTTTTTTTTTTTTTGTGGGAACCTAGCACATCATTATTCTACCTTATTAGGAAGTACATCCCAAGTCTTAGTCATCCAAAGCCAGTCCTTCTGAGTCAGGATTGATTTGAGTTAATTAATCCTGACGATTTCCTGCGAGAAAGGCATGTGAAGTCTGTGAGTACGTTACCTGACCGAACTTCAGTGCATGGGCGTACCCATCCTTTACCTTCCTCTTCCCTTCTCTTCTTCTCCTTGAGCTTGTTTCTCATCGTCTTCCTCGTTCAGGTTGGCATTTAGAGGAACAAACCCTCTTTCTCCCTCTCTTTCTCCTTCGATCTTGACCTTCTCTATCCTTTTCTTCCTCTTTCTTCTTCTTTTTTTTTTTTTTTTTTTTGAAGGCCTTTAGTGAGCCAATAGAACCCTAAAAAGGAAATTACTCAAATCATGGAGTACTCCATTACATAATCAGCAAAATTGATAGAGAATGAAGCGAGGGCAAACGGGAGTCTGAGTGGTAACAGCCGGGAAGGGG